GCGGTTCGGGGTGGGGTTATTAGGGGTTCTGGATCCCAAAAAAAAAGAAAAAAAAAGTGCGGGGTGCCGATGATCCCCGACTGCTAGGTGCCGACCAGCCGATCGGTCGGCGGGTCGGCAGCCGACCAGTCAAGGGCCGCCGACCATCGGGGTGTGCAACCCTGGCACCCGGTCATTATCTTTATATCTAGACTGAAAGTTGCCCGAAATCGAGCTTTAGCGACTGGGCGTTCTACTCAGGTGAAGAGGATAGTGAAAGATGATGTCTTGAACTGTAGCAGATTGCAGAGGGAAGGCCTGCCAGTAGTCGGTATCACCCCTGGAGCTATGATGCGCAGGCAAGCACTCTGCTGCCCTCCTGGAGATCCCACTTTTGCCAGCCTACTCCTTCGTTGTTGATGCTGGCAGCCATAGTTGCTCAGCCAGATGTATACAGATTCACTTGTATAAGACAGTGATTTGTGGATACATTGGAGTTCTCATATTGCATGGCTTGGGATTTCGGTCTTGTGTGTTGTGAAGTGTGCAAGTCAGTGTGAGCATGACATGTTTCGATGTTTTACATCCGGACTCATCACCGCATGCAACTCTAACATTAAGAGCGTGACTGCAACAGCGTGTTTCGTTGGACATGAGCACCATGGTTGCCACACTAACTAACCACTTCCCTTTGCTTTTGCAGATTCTGTATAGAGGATGGAGGGAGGCTGTTGGACCTTGTTTGTATGAAATCGAGTACACTTGCATACAGGTACTGTGGCAAACAACCTGGATGAGTTCTTTCCAGGGCGGTTGCAAATATTTGGAATTGAGATCACAAAAGCAAGGTCGGAAAAGGGAAACAGCAACATTTCAGAGCTGACTGGGAATGGGTTCTTCTCCAATGTCTGTGAAAGCTAATGCCTTGTTTGTCCTCTCAATCCTAGAACCACTTGAGTAGTGGGCCAACTGTATAAATCAGGCTTTGAGCTTACCACTGTTATGATCCAGGCTATTCCCAAGTGCAATGACACAAAGAAAGACAATGCTGTTCAATTGCAAATGAAATGGAAGAACTTGGAAAAGAGAAATAGACAAAGGAAGAAGAATAAAGAGTCAAAGACGGAAAAGTAGATGTACATCAGCAAAGACCAATGTCAAATCCCCCTCCAACTTGCCATCTCCCTCAACCTTGTTCTCTTCCCCAACCTTCTTCATTCAATAAATAATACTCGTAGCCATGAAAGACTGAACCAGAAGCAATGTCTGAATCTTCCCCTTACTGCCAGCAACACATTAGGTCCTGCCACGTGGCGACTGCTGTTGGAACTGGGTGTTCCGCGACGCACTGGCAGGGGTGACGCCAGCTGTGGAATTGACGATAGTTAGAGATAGTGGTGCAGCTTCTCATCTCTTCAATGGCGAGGTTGGGTGAGTTGGAAGCCAATGACTGGCTGGCCATCGTCCAAGTGAGCAGAGAACGGGTGTGCTGCGAAGTGGCGAAGTTGAAAGCGATGGTTGCAGAAAAGACATTGCCAACAATTCCGTGGATCCGGAGTGTGAGGGAGAAGTTATTGGAGACTGTGTGGGGGTTGGAGGAGGGGCCGCCCCCTCATCTTCGTGCGCTCATAGATGGACCACGACTGGGCAGCGTCATGCGGAACTACTACGAAGATCTTGAGGAGTGGCAAGTACTTTGTGCAGAGCTGGAGGAA